TCTTGAAGAAAAGTTCACATAAGAGGAATAGTAGAAAAGAGAGGAAATTGAAGGCTACTTGTCCAAAATATATAGAACAAAATGGTAGGGAAAAACAACTGTTGGTGGAAAAATAGAAAGCATGGAAGAATAAGCATGTAATCAATACCCAACTTTTAGAACAAAATCCCCAAAGTTCTTTGGTTCTCGCACTCAAGACCATGTCAGTGTATTACAGAGATCAGCTTCAGTCTGGGTTAYGCAGTTGTCTGCTGTGTCCACTTTTAGCCACATTTAAAATAACCCTGTTTTAATGTCCTGATGGCTGCGCTGTCACAGAAATTCCTCTTGCCCTATTCACATCGTGGGTTTAAACCACTACCCCGCCTCTTTTAATGTACATCACRTTCCCCGCCCTGCACACGTGCTCTGAAATACTCTTAGGCAAAAGGACCCTCCCTTTCCAGAGTATTTTTACATGGCATGATRGTGCTTGATCTGCCCGTGGCTCCTGATTGTTGGCATTGGGCCAGCACTGCATCACACACCCACTCGTCTACAGGGTTGTTCCATCCCTCTCTCCACCACTTTCCAGACCACACCACAGTTTTAAGACAGGACTGAATGGTCAAGCAGGAGTTTACTCAGCAGCCTTTTCCATGCTGGGGGTGGGCAAGAGTCTTTAACTTTCTTCATCACACTCACAATACTTTTTCCCAGGTCTTAAGGCCAAGTACCCACTAACCTCTTCATTGACTTCAGTAAGTTTTGGGAGACAAAAGTAAAAAATCTCTGAAGGGATCTGTCTTTCAAAACAGAATGGGTTGAGAAATACCAAGACGAAGGACAAGCTTCAGGACTTCTACATACGCAGAAGACAATTATCCAATGATGCAGCAATAGCATGAACTATCTCAGAAAAAGCAACATAAACCTGTGTCTATATCCATATCCACGTGCTCTTTCAGATGGCTGGTCATGTTTTCTTATGATCAGTATCTTTTTTGGTTCTTCCTTTGTGATTCTCAATTGGGATCACAGACGTAAGTCTCTAAAAAGATGAAGAAAACTAAAATCGCTGTCCGGAATCCCCAGGTTGTCCAGGGAAGGAACYGTTGTGATGACATGCAAGTCCAGTCTGGCACTGAGTCTCAAAGGAGGCTTTTYGGCACCACACAAGACAAGTAAGAAGAACAAAAGATGAAGCAGAAAATTGCTGGCAATTTGCTGTGTGACTAAGGGCAGATCCAAAAACAACATCCTTGTTCCCCCTTGAGTGCCCCACTCAGCAAGCCACGGTGCCTTTCTGAAGCAAATTCAGCCTCTTCGGTGGTATTTGATAATGTGTTAGGCTGCTATGGACCAGTAATGACCCAATATTTGTTCAAACTACTAAACGTTTTTATTTGTTATTTAGACACATTCCTCTAAAATGTGTTCTCAGCTATATCAGGTTTCTAACAAAAAAAMCAGGACATGTAGACCCAGCCCCCAAAACAGATTTCTGAAGAAGGGGGCTCTGGGACTTAAGGAAAAGGCCTAGCAAGCCCTGAAAATTAACTTTCATTCTCTTTTTTTCCTTTTCACTATGGATAGCAAAGTAAAAGTATTTTGTGAGCTTGAGGCTACACAACTCCAATTGCTATAATTACACAGCCAGGAATTTTACAATTGTACAATAAGTCAACTSTCTTAGAGGGACTAATGCTTAAATTGCAACTTCTAGATTGTTTAAAATGGGAAAAAGAATTATGTGGTCAAAAATGTTTGCTATTAACTGAACCTAACCACAATAACAACTTCTATTCACAATTTTTTTTCCTGCTATAAATTTGGGGTTGTTATTTTTGCTTTGGTTTTTAAGCTCAAGCCTGGTTTCTGATTCTGGGATCCTCAAACAGCTAAATCATAGAAAGAGATTAGATGTTAGACTAGAGAAAAAGTTTGGTTAACTGGTGCACGYTAGCTATTGCTGAGCTAATTTTAAGCTCTTGTTGCTACCTTACAAACAAATTCTTTGGTATTAGACTTGTCTTACTAGATTCCTTACGTGTTCAGTTACGTTTATACTATAAACTCAAATTCCTGAAATATTGTAAGCCAGTATCAGCAGAAGAAAAATGTAGCCTTAAAAGTTTGATTTGGTAATACTACTAGCAGTGAAGGGGAAGAGAAATAGGAACAAGGTTTTGAAAACTGTACAAAGGCAAAAATGTGAAATTGCATTAGTGAATAATTGATTTTTTTCTTTTAATTTGTAAAGGCCTAAACTATTTTACAGCAAGGATTTTGTCATCCAAGTGACTTGAATTTTTTAGGAAGCATATTGAAGAGGTCCATTGAAACAGAAATTAAGTTCTACAAACAGGAAAGGGTTAAAGCAGTCCTGGGGGGGGGGCTGACCATGCCAGTCTCACAGATATTTTATGGGATTGGCAAACACTCATATTGCCCCTCTCCGAACTAATGCCCTTTTCCTCAACAAAGGAGCATAGCACCCCGATTGTGGGGATTACAATGCACACTAGAAATTGCCCCTTTGCCCTTTTTAAACGGGACACAGTGCCAAGAAGCCTAGAGAAAAACAGATTCCCATGTCGTATCACTCAGTGTACTCCTCACATTTCACTCGGCTTTTCCATCAGATATATGGGACTGAAGAAGGGAGGACACGGGCACTTGGCCCCACAGGTGCTCTGGAGATTCACGATCATGAGTTTGGTAATTAATAGGCTTTCACTCTTTTGCTGTGCTATATAAGAAATTCACATAACAAGGAAACACTAGTTTTGATGTTCTGTATTTCACAATCCTGCTCAGGTATATAAGGGTAGAGCAGAAGTTACAGCTGAGGGAGCTTCAGGAACTGTTCTAGAACAGGCAAGTCCATTAAGATTTACWAGTAAAAAGGGGACATGAAAAATGACTGAACAGATGATGTGAAATTGAGTTCCTGTGGTTTAATAGATGGCCATTCATTCCTGGAGCTATGGAAACTGACAGCATGCAGCGACTGTCCATTTGCAAAATAAAGTATGGAACCTGGCTTATTTATTTTCATAAAGGCGCAAATTAAGATCATGCATGTGGCTCATTACCGTGRCATGTGGCTCAGATGACCAGGGTAATTACAGAACTGCAGTGACTCAGTCAACTTCTACCCATRGTTACAGGGAAATTAGAGATCAATGTTTTGCTTCTGCAGATTTGTATTTTTGATTCTCTACCGACAGCTAGGACAGCCAGCTTCCTCCCTTGYCCATAGGCCATCTTTATGTGCGGGGTTGGAGAGAAGGGAATATAAGTCAGCATTCTCAAATCTCTGCTGAGGAGATAGGAATTAAGGGGCAGCCTCAGGCTGTCAAAATGAGAAAAGTCAAGGATGACTATAGCACAAGGTATTCTGTTACACACTGCGGTAAATACAAACTGGTATTTTCATCATAATGAAAAAGCTTTGGTAGACAAAGGTGGGCATTTACAGTGATCTTCAACTTGTGTAGTACAGAAAAGGTGAACACGTCTTTCACTTTTCTGTTACTTACAAATTAATCCAATGTCTGAATGTTTCAAAGCATTTTTGATCTGCCTGGGGGGGTTTCTTGCACATAACAATGATATAAGCCACAGGCAGCTTCTGACCCAGATTTGCCAAGTCTCACTTGCTGAGGAAGAACCTCTCCCTTTTGAAGCCAGAGAAGCTGCTTGCATTTACTCTGTGTGGTTACTCAGCTGGGCAAGACACTTTTTAATAGGCAGAACATCACAAGCTCAAGACTGAATGGATGGAAGGGTTTGGGGAGAGGGGTGACCATTACGCAGAACCTGTGTGACTATCGCCAAGGCACCCAGGTGAAAAGCCAAGTCAGGCAGCATCCTCACCCAAATTTCTCACCGTCATTTCACTCAGCCTGCTTGCTCCTGTCCCCTGGTCCCTCTGTTGTCTGCTGGCCTGACCTGTCTGCTATCTCTGCCATCCTTCCACCGTGGTCAGGAAAGCAAGGTGACAAAAAAGGAGACGAGCTGAGAAACTCCTGGAACAGCTGGAGAAACCAGGCTGCCCACCTCTGGGCACACCGGGCTGCGGGCACACACACAGCAGCGCCAGCCGGACTCCCGCGCCTCCAGCCTGGTTCTGCTTTCACACACAGGTCTAGCAGAAGATAATCTGGGAAAAAAGGAGTGAAGGGGGATATTCCTGAAACAGCACACACAAATTTTAACGTGATGCCCACGTTTCCACGAAGATTGTCCCGGCGAGCGCCCCGCACCACCCGGGGAAGGGGCTGCCTTACCCGTGCAGGAGGAAAGCCCCGGGAAAAGCCTGCCTTACCGTGCCAGGGCTCTCCTGCCCTTCTCCCTGACCAAAGCCGCTGGCAGTTCTAAGAGTTGTTTGTGCCGCCTCCGAGAGAAGAAAAAAATACCTGTATGAAGAGAGGTGACGAGAAACAGGCCGTAGGTGGCAGAGCCAGGGCTGGGCARGGTGTGAGGCTGAGGAAAAGCCTCCKCTCCCGGCGGGGCTCAGTCTCGGGCACAGTTGCCTGACAAGCACTRAGTTTGCCAAGATCGTGGCAAAACAGGAGGAGGAGGGTCCTCGGAGCTGGCGCTGGGGGGGGCCTTTGTCGCTCCTGTCTCCCGCCTGTTACCCCATCCCCTCCTCACCCACGCCGTGGCGTGGGCGGCGTGGGCGGCCGCCCTGCCCGTGCCCGCGGGGGCAGCCGCGGTGTTTGCGTTTGTGCCGGGCAGTCACATGGAAACGGGCTGGCAGCGCCCCCGCACTCCGCGCTGCCCGGGCAGCGGCCAGCCGAGCCCCGCCGCGCCGGGAGTTCCACCGCCCGACTCCCGGCCCGCCGTGCCCGGCTGCGGTCAGGGCCCGCGGAGCGCGGGGCGTGCCTTCCCTGCCGGCCCGGTAAGGCGGGCGGGGGCCGGCTCGGCACGGCATCCCCGCTGGGCAGCCTGGGCGGTGGCGGCCCGGGCAGTGCCGCCCGACAGCGGGGCGGGGAGCCGGGGAGGTGGGGGCGAGGGACGGGGCGAGGGCGTGGGCGGCTCTCACTCCTGTACTCTCCTCTCTTCCCTCCCTCTCGGTACCCCCGCCTCCGACCTTCGCCGGGATCGCGTCTCGCACCGGCCCGTCCTCTGTGAAGTGGCGAGGGGGGCCCGGCCATGGAGACCCTCGTGCGCCCCGGGGCCAGCAAGCCCCCCACCGGGTAAGCTCCCGCCGGGACCCGGGCCGGACCGGCCGCCGCTCCTCTCCACGGCCGGGACTGGCTCCTGACGGCGACAGCGGCCGTGCTGGCYGGCGGGCCGCCGTGCCTTCCCTCTGTCCCGCCTGTCGCGCTTCCCTCTGGGCGCCGAGCTCGGAGCGGCGCGCAGGTGTCCGCAGCCCGGGGACGGAGGGGGCACRGCGGGGAGCGGGGGGCGGCAGGGCAGGGCGGGGAGCTCGGGTGCCGAAAGGTCAGGAACGGGAGAAAGTGCCTGTTTCGCCTTTGCCCTGCGGGAGGGCCGGGCTGCCGGCGCTGCCCCTGCGGCTGCGAACCGGAGAGCGGGTTTGATTCGGGGCTTGCTCCCTGCAGAGGGAGTTCGGGGCGGCCCTGCCGGACCAAGGGCAGCTGCTGCTTGCAGCTCCCGACCCGGGTCGCGGGGCTGGAAGGGACGCTGGCGAGGAGAGTGCCGGGGCCGCGGCGGGGCTCGGGGTGGATCAGTCSGGGGAGCCCCCGCGGCCGCAGAGGTTCTCGCCCATACGCCCGTCTGCCCGAGCGCCGGGACGCGGCTGCCAAAAGCCTTTGAAAGGTTTATTCAGCCTTCCCAGCCGTGGGTCTCTCAGCCCCACCGCACGGGCGCGGCAGAGGAAGGAAGAGCGCTGCCAACCGCGAATTCAAAGTGCCCAAAATTGTCCGAGGTTGGTGGGAGACCGCGGTGACTACTCCCAGTTGCCTCCTGCTTTTGGTGACAGGCACCGCTCTCGCAGCACTATTGCTAAGTAGCGGTCAGCCCGAGTGAAAACCACGGGAGGATTCGGGGTTTTTGAATAGAAGAGACAAGTAGAAAATATGCCAGCAGTGAATTTATTAGTCCGTTAATTAAACGACGAGAGCAGCAGCACGATGATGTCCTAAGTGATCTCTTTTGTCAGAGCAAAAGCTGGGCAAGTTTTAAGAGCTGTGCTGTCTGCTCGCTGCAATTTACTGCTCTACTTCACACTGTCTGCACGGACTGAAAGAGACTGTCATTGCTTCAGCAGCTTATTTACTTTTAGTTCTAATACTTTTGCCATAAATTTATTTTCAACAAAGCAAGAAACAGCTCTAAAGTACGTGCTAGTGGGTTACAGTGTTTTTAGTCAGTTTCGTTTCCTTASTTTGTGTTTGGCAGGGAACCTTGTAGTGCCGAACACAGAAAGTAGTACAGGGAGCAGTGAGTGAAGAAAAGATTGCTAGTGCTGTGGTAATGAAACAGTGTGTGCCATGTTTCTTTGACCTGCGGAGTATGACATGGCTTGCTGCTCTTTTTGTAAATAAAATGCTTCATTCCAGCCGCAAATGAGCTTGTTTGATCATGACCTTTTAGGCTAACCTTCCAGGARAAGTGGTAGACGTAAGGTGCCTCAGTTTAGTTGATGAAACAATATAGCTGCTTTCTAAAATCCTGGTGAAGAGGAGATCTGTGGTGCCAATTTACACGTGTGCTTTGAAGAGTAATTCAGAGGCACTGCTGATCAAGGATTTGTCATAATTTCTAGGTATCCAAAGATTCATTAAAGAATTTTAATTTGCAAGGGGAATGCATGTCATTGGTGCATGTCAGAGATGACCACTGTGGTCTGGGGGCATTTCTAAACAAAACTCCTGAATAGTTTGTAGCAAGTTTCATCTGTGTCAACTCGTCCACAGCCAGCCTCAGAGAGCACTTACATGAACAGTAGTTACAGTAACTGCATTAACTTCAGTAATATTGCTCCTGACATGGCTCAAGGAGACGAATCCAWTCGTAGGGTGCAGATGCACTTGAGATATTGTATAACAAAGTGTGTGGGTGCTAATCTGCTCATGTGGAAGCTGATGGCAACACTGTCCTGTGCACCAAGAGGTGACTGCCTGTTTTATCTGAGCTCATTTCAACCTTGCATTACTTCGTGTTGCGTTTTCTTGCAAGTCCTTCCAGACCTTCCCAGCCTGGATGTGTTCATGCTGTTTGCAGAGGACTTCACTGAATGSTTCATAATTCCCTGAGTTGCTATCRTCCATATTGGACACCAGTGAATATTTGGTCCTTAATCAGATTTTACTCACTGAATGATGAAACCTGCTAGGGTTAGGAAAGTGGAGCAAGAGTTTTGTCAGTCCTGTTTGGTTCCCATATGAGCTGCATCGATGGATCGTGGCTAGGGACATCTGGCTGTTAAGGCCGTTGTGACAGAAGTACCTTCCTTTTCATGGCAGAAGATATGCTATMAACATTTCCAGCTTATTGATTGATTGATTGATTGGCTTAGCTTGCAGTTATGAAAGGGAGGTTAAAATGACCACAACTTCACAATTTTTAACAAAATTTAGGCAGAATTGTTTTGTCGCTATATAAATCATTAACAGCAACATTATGACCTTCCCTCATTAAACAGTGAACAAATTTAATGTATCATTTGGTGCAGGGTAGAGCAGCTCTGCTGTGTGCTTACACAGATAAATTCACTATGTGTGTTTGATGGCACAGTTCCTTGAGAATTTCGCATTTAAAAGTAGAATACTGTTGTGGGGTTTAGGTTTTGTTGGGTTTTTTGTTTGTTTGTTTGTTTTTTTTAATGGCAAAGAAAAAAAATGCAGTTTGTGCTGGTGTTGCAGGGTTTTTCCCATTTTTCAGTTTCGGAAATAATTGTAGATTTCAGAACCATAAATTTTGTGATTACTGATTTCTAGGCATGAGGTTTTTCAAAGCTTTACCAAGTSCATAATGAACATTTATTTTAGTTTATGGAAGTGAATTTAAGACAATCAGCAGCAGCAGCAGCAATTAGGATTTACTCTGTGATCGTGCAATGGATACTGAAAAACAAATACACTTGCTTAGTATGTTGTATCTTTGTGTCTGTATCTGCCCTTATTTCATAAGGGAGAGCAGAGTGAAGCTTCTCTCAGTGTTTCTTTGGTTGATTTCTTTTTTGACCATAATATGGMATAAAAGATATGCACTTGTCATAAATGGCGCAGCAGGCTCAAGCCTAAAGTAAGAACTTGCAGGATCAGTTCTGTTCTGCTCTGTTGGGAGCCTTGCAAAGAGCAGAGCATCTTCCCTGGCCCCTGAAGGCATCTCCATCTCCCACATAAGCCAGCAGTTCATAGATACATCTCCATGGCTATGCCTGAGCACAGAAAAGTGTTCTCTAGGTCTGGCAAATGTGGGGAAAGCCTCCAAGTTAAACTGGATGTATGAATGCTTTCTTTAAGTAGGACCTTTATTTTCTGTGCTTTAGCTTCTTTCCCTATCTCACAGGGCCTTATGGTACCAACAGAGGCACATCTTAGCACACCTGCTTTGGAGTGACTTCCCTGCTGGATTGAAGTGTCCCTGGAAGTCAGATAAAGGATGTGAAACATCAGTAATGTTAACGTGCAGAACCTGGGAAAGCAAGCCCCCAGCTACAGAGCAAGTTGCACATCTCAACTTGTTGAAATCTTTTCACACTGTTTTATGGCTACTACACAGAGTTAAGCTGGTTACTTTGTGAAAAAAAAAAAAAAAAAAAAAAAAAAAAAAAAAAAGCTGTGTTTAGGGTTTATTTTCTTATTTAGAAAAGCCTGGAGAGCGTTGTTGTGCACACAACATCTATTGGTCTGTTTGTGTAACACTAGTTACATTATACTCTATCTTATCTTCATGTGTTGCAAAACTTAGGGTGAAAGGAAACAATACTGTAATTAGCTTTTGACTGGAAAATTGAGCAATTTGCATATATTTTCCTAGTTCTGTATTTTTATAAGATTTCTATGTAAAGTGCAGAGTAGTGGATGGCAAAGAGCAATGACGGCAACTAGAAATGCAGAGTAGCAGTGTGGTAGAATCAGAGTTGTTTGGGTTAAAAGGGGCCTTAAGATCATCTCATTCCAGCCCTCCTGCCATAGACAAGGACACCTTCCACTAGACCAGGCTGCTCAAAGTCCCATCCAGCCTGGCCTTGAGCACTGACAGAGATGGGGCACGCACAGCTTCTCTGGGAAACCTCTTCCAGTGTGTCATGGTAAAAAATTTCTTCCTAATATCTCATCTAAACCTACCTTCTTTTAGCTTAAAGCCATTCCCTGCATGGTGGCAACTTTCAAGATTGCTGACTTGACCAGTTACAAGACTGAAGCTTGTGCATTTGGCATTGCCCTTCACATTGTGTCCCCATTTGAATCTGCAGCACTCCTTCACAATTCACTTCTTACGTGTCCACCTGAGACTGAGCTTCCCTGTCATGTGTTTTTCTGGCACCACAGTCAAAATTAATCCTATCTTGGTCTCAGTCTGGGTCCAAAGTATTTCTGTGTCAGTGGAGAAAACAYCACATTAAATAAGACTCTGATAGTAATGACAGAAGAGTCGTACTCGCTATTGCATAAAATGAAACAGGGCARTTTTTACTGTGTTTTGCACCTCCATAGGAATGGATCTGTTGAGCCTACATACTGTAACAGATTTGTATTTTCTGTCATGACTAATATCTCAGGATTGCTGAAGATAAGGATAGCAAGAGTAAGCCAAATGGCAAGATAAATGCAATGCAATCCAGTCCTGACAACTGTTCTTTCTGAAGTCCAGGTACTGATTCCTCGTATCTTCCTTTTCCTTTATTTTTCCTTTTCCTTTCTTTCAGAAATCTGCCAGAGTAGAGGATGAAGGTGTTATAAAATCTCTTTCATTTCTGTTTAGGACATTCAGGATTTGTTTTGACTTTCCCCATCTCTCAGTTGACTCTCATTATTTTCTTCCCATGGAATCTTATATTTTTTCATCTTGCTATTTTATGTCACCCCTGCCACTGTTAGACAAAATTGAACCTTCTCTTTCCTACTGTCACTCATCTCAGTTGTTGTCCATGTTCTTTCCCTTGTAATTCCAGGTTCATTTTCTTCAGGTTTTGCTCCTGTGAATTTACATCTTGGTCAAATTGCTAGTCTTCATTGAATCACTTCACTGCTCCACAGGAGGTAGCACAACATTTTGATGGGAC